AATCAAGAGGAAAATTCCCCTCTGCTATGAAGACAGAGGAGTCTTTAAAAGCTCTCCTTAAACAAGGAATGACATCAGTCCTTCTTTTGAGAGTCTGTGGGTTGGGAGAGTGAATAGATTTTTTAAAAGATACCGATTAAGGGGTGACTCTGCATTTCAGCTTCTATTTCATTACTCAAACGTGACTCAGATTTCACAGCAAAGAATCCACTCCTACCCACTGACCGTAAGTTCCACTGGACTTTTTCCAGCGTGTCTGCCTGGTGTGTAAGTATATGTTGGCAGCTGGAGGTAAAACCAGGCGGTGACACGTAGGGGAGCAGGGAAGAGCCTGCCGGAAAGCATCCCAGGGAACACACAGGCATCAGCTGTTCCCAAGTCCAAACCCCTTGCTCTACACTCTCCCACACCCAGCAAGAAAAGCGTCTGCCCCGGGGGCCCCAGGTGACCATCCTGCCCATTGTGAAACCTGGGAGGAGGAACTGGCTCTGAGGGCACCCGATGGACCAAGAGACTTCGCCAGAGTTGGACCAACCAGAAGCAGCTGAAATACCCAACCTAAGAATATGGGATTCACATGGGAAATCTGGGCCCTCTGAATGCCCAAGTTCCCAGCATGTGGGTGCATGGGGTGCTCATCATTAAAGCATCTAAATAAGAGGGGGCCCTGAAAGAGTGTGTCAGGACCAAGGATTATAATTAACCCCATTGTGGGAGATTTGAGACCACATACAAGAGGGAAACGAAACAAAATCCACGTACAAATGGAAAAAAACAACAGAAGTGTGGGTGAAAAGCAGTGACCTTCCCAGGGTAAAGGACAGGAGGGGAAAGGCTGGGTTGCACCCCATTCTTTGACAAATCCCAAGGATAAATGCAGCTACTGCTCACGGCCCAGCTCTCCCGTGGCTGACAGGTGACGAATGAAGTCATTTGCCTGGTAGTGGTTTTCTTTCCTTTCTGCTGGGTTAACGTACTCACAGCTCATGCACCTGACACAGTCCGTGTCTGGTTGCCACGGCGAGCTCTGGAACAACTGGCACCGCACCTGCACACCTCGCATCGCCCTTGGTCCTTCCATCTTTGCCTGGAGCCCAGCGTGCCCCCTTCGCTCAAAGAGACGCCTCCGCGGGGCTGTGTGCGGAGTTCTCCCCTCCCCTGGAACTCAGTGTGCGGTTCACTGGAGAGCACGGAGGCAGGACTCTGGGCGTGCTCTCCTTCCCTGACATCACAGAGAACCATTGTGAGCCGAGAGAGCTCCATGGGAGTCGGCCTGAAATGTGACCAGTAAAACGTGCCTGACTTACTCCACATGGGTCAGGAGGTGACGGAGAAGAAATGGAAACGGGGGAATCATCTCTGTCGGGAAGGTCAAAAGGTCACGCAGCCTTAGGTGGGCATGCTCGCGCCGTCCCTACACAGTTACAGGAAATGAAGACCTGGGCAAATGCCTTCAAAGGATGAGTTTATCTCCCTTAAAAGATACTGGTATGTCCTGGCCGGTGTGGCTCAGTGGTTAGAGCATTGGTCTCGCTCTGGATTCCTGGTCAAGGGCGTGTACCTGGGTTGTGGGTTCACTCCCCGCCTCCATTCAGGGCGCGTGCAGGCGGCAAGCAGTCGATGTGTCTCTCATCGATGTTTCTCTCTCCCATCCACTCTAGCTGAAAAGTAATGGGGGCGGGGAATGGTTCATCTGTTTGGTGAGCCACATACAGAGAGGTTTTTAAAGTATGTTTTCTCAGCCTGGGAAATACAAGTTAGACAGTGATCATCCAGCACTGAGATGTATGAAATGTCTCCCATTTCATTGGTGGGAAAAGACAGTTGGGCATTTGGGTCACTGTGTCTTTAGTTGTCAACCTGGAAACAGTGAAGGTCTGCAGTCACCACAGTCAGATGTAGAGATGGGAACACTGCTCAGGTACAACCTCCTAGCTGTCCCATTTAGATGAAAGTGTCACCATGTAGAACGGTCTGTGTGGAGAGCTGAGAGAATTGTGTGTCCCGGAATTGGCTCAGGATCATCTTGGTAAGTGACAAGCTTGTTAGAAGCTCACAAATGACATCTGTTTAGTTGTAAATGTTTCCAGCTCTAGCTTATGAAGTGAGGCTACTGGGTGCTCCCCAGAGGGCAGTCATCTCACAGGCTGCCCAGGAAAGGGCAGGAGGAGGGCCAAGCGGGGCCACCACAGCCCCACCAGCCACTTAGCCTCCTCCTCGCCTAGAAGGAGCCTCTAAGACTCTCTGAAGTAGCAGGGGCTGAGCTGACTCTGTTCTGGTCAGGAGTCGGGTGCCAGTGCTCCTGCCTCCTGAGCTGGGGTCTGCCGCAGGGTGTGGGCCTTCTGTGTCTTACATCACCCAGTTTCCCAGGAGGCCCAGGGCATTCCCAGAGGCACCACGTGATTTCAGAGCAGTGAGCTGGTGCACTTGCCCCTTTCAGCCTGCACAGCCACTGAGAGACACCTTTAGGCAACCTGAAACAGACTTGCTTTCTTCTTGAGAGACTCACATGGAAGGGCTGAGCCACTTCTGCCAGCGCACAGACCTTGTACATGGTTTTTAAATAGAATCTCTTAAAGTCTGAGATAATGAGACTGCAGAGAAACGAGGCTAATAAATCCATCACGCAGGCCTCCAGTGACTGCGGCTTCCCAGACTGCCACATACTGAGTTTCCACGTCTAACTGCCAGGCTCTCCGGTCACATCTATTACAACTCACATGCTAGGCTGTTCGTTCTTTCAGAAGGAAGTGGCCGTCCACCTCTAAAGAGTGGCTGATGGGCCTTGTATTTCACGATGGATGATGTCAGAGAATTACAGGAATGGGCAATGCGTGCAGGGTGGGATTATGACCGCAGGGTGCGTCATGACCGTTTTCTGCATATCTTGGGGGCACTAAGTTGTTACTTTGTGAAGACTGCCCCCCACTTATCTTTGGTTCTGGCGAGCTATCCAGAGTTTCAGCAGCCCCCGACTGCCCTGGAACAGAACAATTAGAACAGGGTGCCACTTTGCCAGTGGGTAATGATTCTCTTTTTTGAGAGAAATCGCTTTATAATTTTTTCCTGACTATAAAGTAATATAGGTTCCACATTATAGCAGCTCTGGGTTACACCAAAATAGAATTTTAAAAAAACAAAAATCACCCACAGTTCCTCTAGAGACAAATGCTTGCAATGCTTTGTTGTAGATCCTTCTAGATTTTTGAATCCACTTGTGTAGTTAGATGTGATATTCCACTCTGCAGTGGTGCGCATTCTCTTTACCAGGATGCTTCTGTGTTGATTGTTGGACGCTATGCTTTCTTGAGATGACGTCCTTTGTCTTGGCGCCATGATTATTGGGGATTCTCAGTAATTACTAGTTGAATTTCTTAAATACGTGTGCAGAGAGAGATTCCAGGGTCCTGCAACTTTAACCAAGACTGTTGTGAGTTCAGAACAACGTCAGTATTCGTTTTCAGAGACTGGAAGTTTCCTTCCTTCTAAAAGCGGGTCTTAGACTCAGAAGTGATGGCCTAGTTAGCCTCAGACCGTTTTTGTTTTTTTTTTGCTGCTTGTGAAGTCGTATAGATTGTTTCAGAGTAAGAAGTAGGTTTTGCTGTCCCTTAGGGCACCTTGCCCTGCCCGGCTCCGTTTGCCTCCCTGAATGGCTCCTCTCCAGTGGAAATGGGAGATAAGGGCCAGCAGAAAATGCTTCTGTTTGCTTTCATGTTTCCCTCTTTAGAAGGGACTGGAATACATTGGATAGTTCATTTCCACACTCAGATGTGCTCAGGAAGTACCCTAGTGTATGTCTAAGTAAACACTTTGGAGGTATATTTATGTAACTGTGGACTGACAGTCACATAAAATAATAGAGCTAACATTTATTGAGCCATAAGTGATTGCATTTAGCACTTAAAATAAGCCTGTGAGTTAGATACCGTGATTTAGGCGACAAGGCAGCCTTCAGATTTAACCCCAAACACAGTCCGGCCCCTCAAGAGCCCGTTCGTTCCGCTCGTCCATCCCGCTGTGCTGTCCTGGTGCCTCCATTTCTCCTCAGCATAAAGAGGTGTCGGCACAGCCGATTCGAATGTTTCTTCCATGCTCAGCATTTTGAGTCCACAGATCTGCTTGGAAAACCGTCTCCCTGCCAGGAATCGCTTCTTACAGTTCATCACCACGCCCGCTGCCTTTGTCCCCGGCCAGCCTTCCCTTCCGATGGCGGTGCCTCAGCTGCAGGACACCAGGCAGCACAGGAAGCCCCCACGCGAGAGCCACGACTGCTGAGATGCTGCCGCCTGCTGAGGGCCACGCACCCCTCAGAGGCAGAAGGGGCAGCGGGCGCTCTGGCTGTGGGGTGGTCTGTGGCATGGGAGCACCCAGTGTGAATGGGCACTGCCTTATTCATGGCCAGGACCTGAAATAGCTTCAAATAGCTCCTTGTAGCTACTTCACAGCCACCATGTGAGTGCCGTGTGCTATTTTCTCAGGCACTGAAATTACTACCTTGTTTCCGTGAGCTTTGTGTGTAGCGAAAGGAAAAGTGTACCTTTGATGGGAACAGACATTTCCCATTTTTTAGTGAGAGCCTTTCCCATCAAAGCAGCTCTGTTCCCTTCAGCCTGAGAAAAGAGGTTTGGGGTGCTCTGCGGTGCTCTGGGATGCTGCTGGTGCGCCAGGCCGTGGGTGAGGTCAGGTTCTGATCGGTGCTGCCGCGGGCTGGGCTGCCCGACTAACGCAGCGCAGCTCTCGCGGTTCTCTCTGGGAGCTCCACGCGGCGCCGCTAGGCGGCCTGTACATAAGGGGTTTGGAGGGCAGGTCACGGGGCGGGGGCCGGGGCGGTGAGCCAAGAACCTTGCAGACGGGAACGAGGTGTGCAGATGCCGCATTGGGAGGGGCGTGGCTGGTGCAGGGGGAGAGGACGGCAGGGCTGACAGCAGCCCAGCAGACGGTGCTGCTCAGTGTACGTGCTGCTTTTCCTTGGGGGGAGGGTGAGAACACTCAGCCGGCGTGAGTGATGGCCGAGCACTCGCGGACGTGGGAGACGGCCCATAAATAAAATCATGTCGTCGCTGTCTGCACACTGATGCCTCGAAAGGCAGGAGAGGACATTACTTTCAAATTAGGAGGAGAACACTGTCCTCACTCTGCTACAGGTCAGACCCTGCACTGAAAGCGTGTTGTCGTGGGAGATGGTGTTAGCATCCTCCCCGCCCGAGGCCCATCTCTATAGAACTTTCTGAACGTACAGAGTGAACGGTAAATTAACAGAAGTGTAACACCCAGTGCGTTTCCCACAGGAAGAAAGCGTGTTTGTGGCTCAGCATCCGCACCACGATCAGGGTCGCTGTGCAGCAGGTCCTCCACCGTCGAGATGCCCGCACTGTGGCTGGTGAGGGGCAGGTGTGGCCTCACCTCCCTTGGTACTGTCAGTGCTGGGCGAAGCCTTTGTGGTTTCCGTGCCTCGTGTCTGCTTTGAGGCTGCCCGTGAAGTGAGTGGCGAGCCGGGGAAACAACGGCTCTTGGGCACTGAAGGCCTCATATTCCCTGGTGTAACCCCCAACTTGGCAGGCTGGCCTGTGGCCTCCTCGGTGCCCGGCATGGAGCAGAGCCTGGCACACGGGGGACAAGCCGGGAGCATGTGTGTGAAGGTTGCAGTATGTACTGTTCCTAGCTGCAGGGCTGGGGTGTAAATGCCGTTGATCTCCCAATAACAGAGTGTGATTGGTGTCCCTGGGTGGTGACAGCGCCCGGGGGTGTCGTCACCAGAGCTGTCCTGCCAACATGCCACACACTGAAGCCTTTGAAAAGTGCGTTTCCTACAGCGAGGACCCTGACGCAGCAAATCGGGGAAGTGCAGTCCAGGGCTCTGCACTTACAGGAATTGTTTATAAGAGGATAATCCACTTTCATCCCTGGCTGGCAGGGCATCTGAGTTACTCTGGTAGCTTGTCCAAAGGCCTGATAGACTTCACCCCATTTCTCCAGTTACAGTAAAGGCCGAGACTCTGAGCTCCTAGTGGAGTGAGCAGCTGACGACTGATGGCTGAAGCCATGCAGGGGGTAGGGGCAGGGTCTGGAGACAGACTCCCGATTCCTGCAGTCACCACGTGGCGCAGTGAGAGGTTCCTCGGGAAGTTCCCAAGAAGGGTTGGGGGGCTCAGCTCTGTGAAATCTGGGGGCTTCCCTCCAAGTCCCACCCACTTTTTCCTTGGACTCCTTACTTTGGCCAGGTTTGGACACCATTTCAAGGACATGTTGACCATGTCCCAGGTGCCCAGTTTTCCTGGGGTGGTAGCAGGTCAGGGAGTCTTTTGGGAGTAACTGTTCGTGGACTCTGGGAGCGAGGTGGCCAGTGGAGAGGCGAGGATTTGGAGTCAGGAAGCCCTGGAGCTGCTGCCCAAGAACCGAAGGACACAGCCTCCCTGTGTCCAGGACAGTGACCAGGCTCTGTTTCCCACAGGTCATCTGCGTGCCAGCATGGCGGCTGCGAACCTGGAGAACCAGCTGCACAGTGCACAGAAGAACCTCCTGTTCCTGCAGCGGGAACACGCGGGCACACTGAAGGGCCTGCACGCCGAGATCCGGCGGCTGCAGCAGCACTGCACAGGTGCTCTGCCCCGGGGGCAGGGGTACATTCCCGCAGAGCAGAACCTGTCGCCCGTCACAGGGCAGCTTCAGCCATGCTGGCTCACCAGGGCGGTGCTGGGGTTAACCCATCATTGCAGAGACCACTGTATGTGCCCTTCACCCTCTGCCCAATGGGTGTGCACAG